TAATAAGAGGATTGTATTTGATCTCAATAAGACTGATTTGAAAGGATTACCTGATGGAATGACTATAGATACAGATGGCAATCTTTGGATAGCATTATTTGGTGGATCTCGAGTAAGTATACAAAGTAATAAATTATTATTTAAAAAATTAATTTATAGAATTATCTAATGTAACAATATACGTACATAATTAAATTTTATTATAATAATTTTAATGATATGTATATAATTAATGTATATAATATACATATATATAATTAAATTTTATTATAGTAATTGAATTTATTAAAATATCATTAGGATTCTTGTAATCTATGAAAAATTTATCTATTCTAGGTTATTTGCGTGGATCCGAAAACAGAAAAAGTATTATGCAAAGTTGACATTCCAGCTGAAAACGTAACCAGTGTCACATTCGGCGGTCCACTTCTAGATACTTTGTATGTAACCACATCTGGTTTCAACATAAGTGCAGAGCAACGACAAGCAACTCCTCACGCTGGTGCTATATTCGCGGTGACAGGTTTAGAAGTTCGTGGACTACTTGCAAATTCATTTATGATGATAAATTAAAAGAATAGGAATTTTGCAAGAGATATCAAAAAATAGATATCTTAATACTTCTTGCAAAAATGTACGTAATTTCTAAATTGTATATCATTGAATAGAAATTAAATATTACTTCAAAAAATAATTTTTTTAAGTTCATTTGATTAGATTGAAAAAACCGACATGATTAAATTTCGATTTGTAAATATAGAATACCTTTTTAATATGGTTACATAGTAAGTTTTTAAATCATAACTTGTATGTTATGTTTACATATCATTTATGTTTTACATAATCCGTTTTGATAGATGTAGGTCTGTAGATCTATAATCGTCTTGTAACATTTTAATCTACATAAAAAAAATTATAAGTCTATACATTATAAGATTAAAATTTAATTGCAGAGTTAAATATGAACTTGACAATTACTTGACGTATTTATCTCTAAAACAAATATTATAATAAACAAATATACTTGCTGCCTTCTTATACGTTGTGATATTATTTTCAAATTTGCAATTTTTTCCTCACAATTATACAAAGTTGGATGCAACTGTTTGCAAAAATCCTCATGTGCATACCAACTGACATATATTTCACTTTCAATCGTCGAAATTTCCTTCATTAAATCAGCAAACGTCTTTATCATCATTTCGTAGATATCTGTAAAATTACCAAAATTGTCGGTAAGCCTTCAGCTTTAGATCTGCAATCTTTTTGAAGATTGTTCTAGATTGTGCAAGCCTTACATCCGTAAAAGCCTTAAAAGTATTATCAATATTTTGGACTGGTTTCACTAATGCAATAAGTTAGAATAAAACAAACTATTCCTTTTATTTCAACTTATTGCACCAGTGTACACATTTTGCACCAGTTGAAACATTTAAAAAAAAAAAAAAGAAAAAGAAAACAGACCTTTTATAAGCTTGAAAAGCAGAATCATAATCTTCGTAAATATACTTCGTAATATACTATCATTTTTGGAGAAGTTGAAATATAGTTTGTGTATTGTCTGATTAGTTGTCCTTGTTCGACATTGTGGACAGGTCTTTGATCTGAAACAATTCTATAGATGAAATTAGACACTTTCAATGTATAAATAATATAAAACTTTTCAGGAATTATATGAAAGCTTCTTTGAATAATAGCAAAAGAAGAACTACAAGAGCATGCAAAAATCTTTGGTGCACTCCAAATTACTTTTCGAGCCACTGTGACAAGCACGTTTCGTGGTATACATGTCCACACGAGGTGTGAAAAATATCGTCGAATGATTCCAGTAACTCAGTACATATCACGCACTCTATATACATTTTATATAGATTTGTTGATAGAAAATCGATATCTTGTGAGTGAGAATAGATAATCAATTTCACGTATTGTTGTACGTTCTTGATCCACACTGTTATAAATTGGAAAACTTGAAATGTTTGCCTATATATGTACAAGTTAGAAAAGCGTTGAGTCAGTCTTATTAGCTCCGAGTCTCGAACAATACAAAACGTCCGCGCCGTCCTCCAAAAGTTTGAAGTTGTTGCGACCAAACACTGTGAAAAAACCCTAAAAATCCTATTATAATAGGGAGTGCGGTCAAAGTCTCACTAAAAATGCTTTGAAGCATTTGATTAATCACAATCAGAAGAAATATTTTTATTAATTAGCCAATCAAAGAACGTTTCAAAGCACCTGAAAAACCTTCTGACTTTACTGAATATCTTTACAACGTTAAATACGAAGCGCCTTACCGGTCCGAGTGTTACGATATTAAACTACTATCTAATATACATTTATTTAAATTGAATTAATATTTCAGAAATAAATTGAGAGCCGATGAAATTATCGGATTCACCCGATCAATCTGAAACAAATAATCTCCCCAAATTCTCCCAAATCTTAAAAAACTGTAGTAAACTTTTTTAAGATTTGGGAGAATTTGGGGAAATTATTTGTTTCAAATTGATCGTGTGAATCCGATAATTTCATCGATATTAGATAGTAGTTCAACATTGTAACACTCGGACCGGTAAGTATTTAAAGTTTTAATATAAACGGTCTCGTTTCCAATCATAATGTTTACAACGGTTTGAAATATAATATGTAACCGCACGCCATAATATACAATACATTAATAAGTGAATATAGCGATCTCTCGCGTTTAAAATTGACCGCGCTAATTTAAAATATTGAGCAATAATTGTATTGTAAATGTACAAATAAAAAATTAGAGACCTAAATTAATTTATATAAATAAATTAATATATTTATACGAATTTTCTCTTGCTATAAACTGTTCACTATTATTAAGTTCACTATTATTATCTATACAACGAGGGAGGTAAAAGATAAAATCGATTTAAACCACAAAATACACATTTTTTCCGAACATACTACGTATGCAACAAGGAATTACATAACGAGTACTTTGGTGCAATTGCGTTATCAGAAGGGACTATTATTATCTTATCGTCTTGAAATTCTACTTTTAAGTTTACATATAAAACTTGTGGGAAAACAGAAAATTGACAAAACGGTGAAACAAAGTTGTGTTAATAAGAGCTAGTAATTCTTAATTCGGAGAGACTTTTTTAATAGCAAATTTTAGTAAATTTAAGCATGTAAAGTTTAACACATACACACGTACAAATTGTTTTAGAAAACGCTTAAGTTTACTGAAGCTAGTTACATTAAAGTGTACAATACATATAAAAAGTTATTATTATAAAATACATACGATAAAAAAATAACGTTTCCTTACGCAGAAATGCCTTAGTAGAATTAATGAAAAAACAATATGTTATTTTATTTGTCTGTGAGCATAACATGAATTAAATTGTACTTTTAACATTATAAAGAGGTACGTACATATGTAATAGAAATTATACGTTATAATTAATGTAATGTTTTTTTTTATTCTATCTAAATTTGATAAATAATATTAGAATAACATACTTAATGAATTTTATCTACTTCTGTAAATTTATGTTTCTTAGAATATTTATACATATATAATCCCTAATTAAAAAATTAAATTTCTTTCCAATTTTCTTTACGACAACATTAATATTGTACACGTCATGAGAAGAGCAATTTGTAAATTTGTGTCTTTAGTGTACATTTTCATCTTCATCCGTAACGGGTAAGTGAAAGATATTGCACTCACAAATTGACGAGGTATCACGCATCTATGTTAAAAAAAGGAAATCATAATTCTTTAATGCATATAATAAATAATAATATATAATATATATAAATATAATAATATATAAATACATATAAATAATAATATATAATAATTTGTTTGTGAGCATTATGAATTTTTATGTCTATCTAATAAAGATACAAATAATTTTGCTCGTTTCCTTTTTTACCTTTCCGCATAAGCATTGCTACTTATATTTAATATTCCATTAGAAATATCTGTCGGCTATGAGTATCACAATAATCTGTTTGTAGGCAGACGCGTAAATGTGTGAATTTGACAATTGAGAAGATAACAGATATTTATGGCTTTTCTAAGAGCCTTTATTGGGACAATTGTACTCAAAAGTTGTATTTTGTTAATTTTCACGATCAATATGTATATAGTCTAGATCCCGTAACAGGTGTTGTGAATAGTGCATACGTAGGCAAGACTATATTTCTTCTTTATAAACTTTCCTATGTTCCAATGAATTTATAGCACATTTGTAAGTTTCACAATGCTCTTTCAGAACATGGAAGTATTGGAGTTGCTATACCTATAGCTGGTACGACTGACCAATTGATAGCAGGTGCGGGAAAAGATGTTGTTCTCGTTACGTGGGACGGAAACAGCAATAAATCGAACGTACCAGTCAAAGTATTGTTTTCGCTTGACTCTCAGGTTTCAACAAGAACCTATGACGGGAAAGTGGATCCAACTGGAAGATTGTGGATCGGTAAATTGAAAATGTTACGATTAGATAGAAATGAAATCTATTCACTTACACGATTAATAATTTTCACAGGTACTATGAGTGATAAAGTTGCTATGAATGATATGAATAAAATGGCAGAAATCCCTAAACAAGGATCGTTATATCGCATTAATGATGACCTAAAACCCGAGAAGAAAATATCACCCGTTACAATAAGTAACGGATTGGCATGGAATAGACAAAATAGTCTCATGTATTATATTGATACACTTACTCAGGTTGCAGCGTATGATTACAGTCCGAATAATGGGACAATATGTAAGATATTAAATTTTCTATTTAAAATTATGTTGTAAGAAAATGTTCAAGAGTGTACATCATATATAATTGAAAAATTACAGTAAAAAATTACAGTAATGCATGAAATTAAAAGAGAGAATTTAAGGATATGTATGCTTAGATAGACAGTTTTTATGTTTTAGCTAACAAGAAGATTGTATTTGATCTTAATAAGACTAATTTGGAAGGATCACCCGCTGGAATGACTATAGATACAAATGGCAATATTTGGATAGCATTATTTGGTGGATCTCGAGTAAGTATACAAAGTAACATTTAAAAATAAATGAATTATTGTTTGTAATATTATAAGAGTTTTCTAATTTATATATACAATGAATGCATATATTGGATTAACATAAAAGTTCGTGCTCGATTTATCATTCAAAGTTCAAACTGCTGCAATTTTGTTAAAAATAAACAAAGTTTAAAAAAAAGTTTTAAAGCTTGAAATCTCTACTTTCGAAAAGTTACTATATTTTTTGAATTTATATAAGTTTTGTAATTTTTACATATATATATATATATATAGAAAACTACGAGTTGAAAAAAATGAAGAAAATTTTCTTTTCACTTTGTAGGTTTGTAGCGTGCCCAAAAAAATTTAAGAAAATTTTCAATTCTTTATCGTAAAAACTTGAAATTTTCTCTACAAAATCGTTTTTTAAAAATGTTCTTACGATTTTTTGTTACCGAGTTGTTGCAAATTAAATAAAATGAATATTTTGACTTTGATTGCTCATAATTCTATCAAAAAACCATCACAATTAAAAAAAATAGATTCTTAAATTCTCCCATTAGAGTAAGATTTAGATTTTATTTTATTTTTAACAAAAATAGCAGCTGTTTGAAGTTTAAATAATAAATCGGACACAAATTTTTACACTAATCTAATATATACATATAATAAAATTTTATTTTTTATTGTAACTTCTATCAAAGAAAAAAATAACAGTTATTATTTCTTGAAAGTTATCGAAAAGACAACAAAAATAATTAAATGCAATATTTCTTAGTAAAAATTGATATTTTTCTTAGATATTAATTTGAAATGTCTTCATCTTTGTCAAAGATTTAAATTTAGCAATTTAAAAAAATATTAGGTTAAGTAAAAAGTCATCGCGTTTTTTTAAAAGACATCTATCAGTAAAAACCGCAATTACTTTCTTACCAACAATATAAATATATCTTGATAGAGTAAAGTTTCAGCTTTAAAAATCTCTTTTTTAAATTAT